CGTGCCTCTTCTGCCTCTGGCACTGGTCAACTGGTGCTACGACTATCGCTCGGCTTTCCTCTGCTGCTGGAGTCTCTTCTTGCACCTCTCTGGTATCGCCTTCCCGGCCGTCCCTCTCCTCCTCATCTATTCATCGTCATCTGGTCAGCTGGCCCGACAGCACAGAGCCAGCGTCGATATATTTCCCATATACAGCCCTCCGTCAGGGCCGTCGCCTCTCACCACTCCCAGTCCCGACGTCTCGCTGCACTACTACTACTGCCGCTGCTCTGTACCCATACAGCCATTGACCATGGAAGAGCGTCATCCCGATGCACCGTTCCATTCCTAATCGATTCCCGTCCATCTTCCGCACTGGTGCTCGCCATCTGGCCAGTCCTTCCATCTGAAGCCGAGCTGCTCGTAGCTCGAGCTGAACACCATCATGCATCAACAGGCAAGACCGCCGCCGAGGCCATCTGTGTCACCAGCGTCGTCGCCGCAGATCAACCAAATCAGCCAGACCCGACCCAACACCGCCAGAGATGCTGCGCAGAGCAGTCGCCAACGCGCCGGCTCCAATGTCTCCGGAAGAGATACCATGGCGTCCCCAGCTGTGGAAAACAACCCGGCCATGGGTCCTCCGGCCGATTCCATCAAGAAGCTGGATCAAATCGTCCAGGTATGTGCGATGCTATGTGCTACGTGCCGTACATACGACGATCAAGGCACCATCCCCTTGGGTCAGTCAGTCAGTCTTCAGTCACTAACAATCGCACCCAGAACTTCTTCAACAAAGCCGCCGTCCTCATTCTTGAGTCGAGAATGAAAGTCAAGCCCACTCGTAATGCAAACGGCCAGAGGAAAACGAATAAATGGGTATGTATCTTTGTTATTGATGAATTGGAATAAAGTCCGGGCCCCTGCTAATTGATTTTTTTGTTCAACAGTTCCAAATAGAGACGGACGAAATAGATGACTTCAGGGATGAACTCAAGACGTGGAAGACATGCGGGAGCTTAGATCACCGCCCGCCGCCATTGATAATCGAGATATTCCTCGACACTTCAAGTCTCAAAGAGAGTCAGAGCCTTGTCATTCTTGATGATGATGGCAAGCGCTGGGATGTAATGGAGCAGCTGAACTCGTCCGAATCATCCAGTGGCAGCTATCACACTGCTCCAACGTCAAGGAATGCAGAAGTCGTACTGGAACGATGGCGTATAGATCTAAAGACGACAGGAACCCTTCTCACCGATGACTTTGGCCCAATACTGCCCACCATCTACAAAAAAGCCATTGTCTTTTTCCGCTCACTTTTCATCACAACAAAGCTTCTCCCGGCTTGGAAGTTTGCAAGCCAAAGCCCGGCCAAGACATCGCATCCCGCCCTCACTCCTCGATGCCGAATCCGCACCTCAGAACCGGGCAAGTTAGCTACGGGTCTATTGAAGCACCCCATTGATGGTCGACGAGAGCCTGTAACCGAGTATGTGTTTGGCGACCTTGAGGTTCCGGTAGGGCGTCTCAGCACCGCTGTCACCTATCGTAACTACTGTGGCTTTCGGATTGATGATTCCGAGTCATTACTAAGTTCTCGTTTCATGGGGGCCGATGAAAACTTATTCAAGCCTTCAGTCACACAGAGGACCGACCGAGCGCATGGCCGGGTCGCTGAGGTCGGTTCGCTACGTGATCATCGCCGTGGAACAGCACTGAGCGATCTTCACCAAACTTATGGAAGCTTGTCAACATTCCACGGTGACGGCCCATTGGGAACAAGTCCTTTATCAGCACTCAGATCCATCAAAGTTCCTGGCTCGGATACTAGCTCTCCACCGGCGTCCTTACCCAGGGGCGCTGGGACTGAAGTTGCCCCTAGCTCTTTGCCCATATCAGGCCGCATTTCAACCCCTCGGGCAATGGCCAGTCGACCCGGGGAGAGCTCAAGCAGGAGAACGTCCATATCCTTTCAACCTTTCAAAGCCGGATCACTTTCCGGATCACCGGTTCCACGACAACTGGAGCCCGAATCTCCTTCGTCGGCACATTCACAGAGTCGCCCCGTGAATTTTCCCATAAGCTCACAACCTCGCAATAGGAGTTCATTGACGGCAGGGATGCCCGCCTCCCTCCGTGGTGGGCCACCCTCGACATCTGTTGAAACACCGACGGTTGGTTCGCCTAGGCCGGCGTCCACCGGTCGATACAGCAGCAGCTTTACACATAGACGAGGGCGTATGTCCATAGGCCGAGCTGGGGACGACGAACAAAACAGTAGCGGACGACAGAGCCTAGCGTCTTCCGTCGCTCAACCGGGATCTGGCTTACTGGCGGAAACAGGGGGCACCAGTTCTGGGTCATTGCATGCTGAGGAGGATGCCATCTCAGATTTCTTGAAGGCTCTGGATAGCCGTAAGACCCTCAAAAGCTTTGAGCCAACCAAACGAGGTGAATCGGCGACGAATCGAACGGTAGCCCAGCTATCCAAGTTCCACTTGATGAGGGACTCGAATAATGCTCTGACGGAGTCCATGACCTCGTCAATGCAAATGCAACGGTCGTCGAGCTCTTCAAGCCGACAATTGACGAGCGTTCCCGGCATGGTTGCTCCAGCCTCCATGTCTGCCTCGTCTTCTCCTGGAAAACCCGTGTCTCCCCATACCCCTCATACACCTGCTATTCCGTCTCGACTGAGTGAGAACTCGATCATTGATTACACTGCCACGGGAAGAATTACTTCGCGAGGGGGGCGGCGGCGGCAAGAGCCTGCTGTGCCAGAACCACGCAGAGAAAGCACTATTACGCAGGAGGGCACAACTGCCATCGATATACCATTGTCGCCTCGCCTAGGATCATACCAGAGGCGCTCAAGCTCAGCAGTCCAGCAGACCCGTGCGGTGATTGAAGATGACGACACGGAATTGGCATTTGCCGGCGGGAATCGTAGCATCAGCCTCGGGGCCGACGATAGAGAGCCTCCTACTCTGAGTATCTTGTTAGGTCGGCAGTTGCAAATGGAGGACGAGGCGACCGGTGGTGAAGGTATTACCGGCAGCCTACGACCGACTGCCGATGTTCAACCGTCAGACGCATCTGCACCCGATGCTATGCAACGTGGGTCTAATGAAGATAATTTGCCTGATGGGTTGATGCCTTCGAGCGTTCAATCAGGATCGCTGTTCCCGCGACGTCGGTACGCCGGCATGGGGGCAGCTTCCAAAGCGACACCACCGCAGTCGTCACGGGGGAGCTTCACAGGGTCGCTCAGCCGATTGGCAAGAGCGGATGATGAGTCAGTGGGCGAAGAACCACTTGTATTTGATCTATCAGAGATGGACGCGCAAGGCAGACGAAGCCTAGAAGAAGGACGAGGCGGGGGCAACCCAAGCAACGAACGGGGTGCATTCGAGCCGAGGGGAACGACACGAAGAGGGTGGTAAAAACGGATATTGATCAACTGGATTTCGTCCATTATTTTTGCATCCGCATGAAAAAGAAACATATATCATTGTTGCGTTGGATATTCGCGCAGAAGAAGAACTGGCATTGGTGAATGGATTTCATCTGTTAAAAGCAGATGCTTTCGGGCGTGAGCACATGTTGTGCCGTGGTTTTTTATTTTGGCGTCTTTGGATTCTGCTAGCATATATATTTATATATATCCCCGAATCGGTTTCGTGTCCGGAAACGGGATTTGAGGAAAGGGGCGATTTGAAAGGACTCAGGACAGAATGGACTATAATTGGAGTTTTTTTTTTTGGATAAATGACGTACAGAGGGGAAGGCGCATATACGGATGAGTGGAAGTATGAGAATGGAAAAGAAAGTGTATAGGGACCAAGACGGCATTTTGGGTCGTGCGGCTTCAAGTATTAGCAATAGCGTGGATGAAATATTGGTTGGACATGAAGAACTAACATACAGACGAAGATGCCTACCATGGATAAGACATACGCGGCAGAAGTATGCGACGAAGACATAAAAGAGATGGGGTGCAAAATAATCTGGTCAAAGTATTCCGCATTTCGGTCTTTGTCTGATCCAATCTGACCCAATAACTACCTAGGTAGGCTATAACAATGCTATACTTGGGCTTGGTGCTTAGATTACACAGCGATAATAAGAGAAGTAGTAATCATATTGTATTGCGTGGCGCAAGATGTGTAGAAATGTCAAGGATAACAAGATGAATGGGTAAGGGGCATGAGACATGAGGCATACGGCATACGGCATGTTGAGGCATGATCATGCGAACCGGTCGCAGGCCTGTGGAGTGAGTGGCGCGTGGCAACCACGTAATGGCGACGGCATAACTTGGGGCTGGTTCATCCGGGAGACATGGACATGGAAGGTTCAAATGCTCGGGCTGAGTGAGTCGGCCCCCGCCAGCTGGCGTCAACGGTGCGAGAGCACTTGGGACTCGGGAGCTACCAGTGACCCGTCAGCGACCAACTAGAACTGGACGAGCCACTTGGCTGACGTGCCTGCGAGTAAGCAGCTGATGTGTAGGAGCACCAACACTGCAGCTAACTGAGTGACGTCGTGCTAGCGCAGCAAGAGGCGCCGGGGGCGACGGCGGCAGTACCAGAGTACCTGGCACAGGGCTCCCGACTATCGCCTTGGATATATTAAAATATACTAGCGTCGATAGGGCACTTCGCCAAGAAGCTGTACACTGTACCCGTCAGGCCCGCCCCAGGCCCCATGGCTGCTGGCCTAAAGTCACACCAGGTACTTACTTAGAAGTATGCCGTCACAGCAGCTCAATGTTCAATGTTCTCTTCCGGCACCCGCCCGCTTCAACCTCTCCACCACCAGCAAGCGACTCCGACACCTACAGACCCTCCTCGTATAATCCATTCCTCGTGCTGCTTTACAACTGGTCGCATCCCTATAACAGACACCAGAAAATCAAGGTGCGAGGCGGCGCTGAGCTTCAGCAACCACCAAGCGGACAAGCCGACACCAGTCATTAGCTGCCTCGCAACGTCATCGCCTACCAGCCAGCGTCTCCCGCCATGTTTCGAGCACAAGCCGCCGGACCGTTTGATGATGTCGTCGGTAAGCTTCACACGGGGTCCTTTGGCCTCAATAATCCTCCCCTGGGGACCATAGCTGACATGCATCTGCTTCGTAACTCACAGCCAAGGCGACCGACGAGAACCTCACCTCCGAGGACTGGGGCGCCATCATCGAGGTGTGCGACAAAGTCGCCAGTGATTCCAACGGGTCCAAGGAGGCCGTCCAGAGCATGATTAAACGCCTTGCACACCGTAACGCGAACGTACAGCTATACACCCTGGAGGTATGATTTTCTGCACAATCACCACGTAACAGGAGACGACGCCGTCTCGTGGGTCGAGTTCGCAGCTGACCTGTCCCTGCACCACCCAACAGCTTGCCCACGCCCTATGCCAGAACTGTGGTAAACCCATGCACCGCGAAGTTTCTAGTCGAGCATTTACCGACGCGCTTCTCAAGCTGGCGAATGACCGAAACACCCATTCCCAGGTCAAGGCCAAGATCCTCGAGAAGATGAAGGAGTGGGCCGACATGTTCAGCAGGGACCCCGAGCTAGGCATCATGAACGATGCCTACCATCGCCTCAAGCAGACCAACCCGACATTACAAGCCCCCAGCGCCCCGCAGAAGCAGGGCCTCACCGACGCCGACAGGCAAAAGGAGGAGGATGAGCTCCAGATGGCTTTGAAGCTCAGCTTGCAGGACGAGGAGCGAAAGAAGGCAACAGCGCAGGCCGGGCCCAGTACGCAGAGCAGCGGTACCAACCAGCAAGAATCCGCGCCCGTTCCGGCTGTTTCTGCTGGCACCACGGCTGCAACCGTAAGCAGAGTGCGAGCCTTGTACGACTTCGTGCCGTCCGAGGCTGGCGAGCTCGAGTTCAAGAAGGGAGATGTGATTGCAGTTCTGGAAAGTGTGTACAAGGATTGGTGGCGGGGCTCTCTCAAGGGAAACACGGGAATCTTCCCACTGAATTATGTGGAAAAATTGACGGACCCTACTCCCGATGAACTGCAGAGAGAAGCGCAGATGGAAGCTGAGGTGTTTGCTGAGATCAAGAACGTGGAAAAGCTGCTTACCTTGTTGAGCGCGTCGAATACGGCTCCCCGAGAGGAGGACAATGAAGAGATCTCGGTCAGTTTGCTCTGTCTACACGTGCCGCGGGTGTCCGTCATTATGTTAACCCGAGCACAGAAACTATACCACCAGACTCTGGCTATCCGACCAAAGCTCATTAAGCTCATCGAAAAGTACTCACAGAAGAAGGGTAAGCACTCGTGCTTTCATCTCTTGTCAAGGACGCATAGTTAACCATGATTTATAGATGATTTTACCCAGCTCAACGAAAAGTTCATCAAGGCTCGAAGAGACTATGAAGCTCTGTTGGAGTCGTCCATGTCTCATCCTCCTCAACACAGCTACCAGCAGTACGCCATGCGTCCGGCCGCTCCAGGCCAAGGCTATCCTGGTGGCGGATACCCTCAGGGACAGCCGCCTCAGGATCCTTACTACAACCAAGCACCCCCATCCGGTATGCAACCTCGGACTTCCTCAACAGTAGCAATACCTTCAACTAACGTTCCCAGACCACCCTCACTATCAAGCCAGCTCTCCAGCCCCCAACAACTTCCAGTCGCAAGGCAATCCGGCTCCCTTCTACGTCGCCGGAGCAGAAGTGCCATCCCAGGCTCCCGGCGCCCAACCTCAGCAACAGCAGCCTCAGCAATACCCGCCAAGAGATGACACGCCCAGCCTTGGACCACCCTCCGGGAAGCAGCCGGCACCCGTCAACCCATCCTCACCTCCTCCGCAGTCCTTCACGCCCTACTCCCCGCAGCCTCCTCAGCAAAACGCCGCTCCTTACTCCCAAATGCCCAGCCAGCAACGACCACAAAGCACGTACGGCGCACAGGAACTCGCCACCTCGGTCTACGACTCCCCCATTGCACCGCACAACCCCAATCCCGCACCCTTCGGGCAACAGCCGTACCATTCCTACAACCAGCCCGAGCAGGCTCCTCCACCAGCGCCGACGGGCCAAGCGCCGCCTCCGCCGAACTCCATGTCCCCCGCGCCGCTGCAGCCCGGTGGCGCTGCGGCGTACGATGCTCGTCACGGACTGCCTAGCCAGGCAGCACCGGAGACTCACCCCTCACAGCCGCAGTATAAGCCGTACGTGCCGCCTGGCGATGGAACGTCACCGAATGACTATTATAGGCAGGGGAATCCGTACTAGGTGTCTGTATGGGGAGAAGAAGGGGCCGGCTGGTGTAGCTAGTTAATGTGATATGATGTTGACTCTGTAATTTCATGTCAGATTTGAAAGTACCAAGTGTAGATTGCAGCTGCAAACGAAGTGGAATTATCGACAGTCTATCGAAGAATCAGAGCTCGGGCGCCACGCCCGCCAATGCCATCCATGTCCATTTCCTTTGTCAAAAACCGCGCCTGTCCCGCCTCCTAGTGAAAGAAAACAATACGAATTACAGCCCGTCTACAGATACCAGACCACAAAGTTGTAGAGCCATCCAAGACAGATACCAGGTCGTAAAAGCATGTCAAAACCTAGAGAGCCCTCCCCACGTAGTCTTATCATAATCATCATGCAGACATCAAACAAAGCCCCTGGAAATCACCACCTCCTCCCAAACACGGCACTCTCCTCCCTGACAGGCTTCCGCCCCAACAAGCCTCTGCCTGCACGCTCGCCGGTAGCCTTCCTCCTGTCCTCCAATGGCCCTGGCTGCACGTCCTGATGGTGCCCGCCAGGCTTGAACAAGTCAATAATCTCATTGATACCCAGCTTCATGGCCTCCTTCTTGGCGCCGCCCTCGATCGTCTGTTCCGCCAACTCGCGCTTTTTATTCTGCAGGTCAATAATTCGCTCCTCAACGGTATCAGCCACGGTGAGTTTGTACACAACCACATCAACGGTTTGTGTGAGGCGGTGGACACGGTCGATTGCTTGCTCTTCGACGAACTAGTGCCAAATGTCAGCCTCTTTCGGATCACAAGGGAAAAAAAAAAAAAAAAAAAAGAAAAGAAAAAGAAAAAGAAAAAGAAAGAAAACCTACCGGATTCCAGAATGGTTCAACAATAATAACCCGCGTAGCGGCCGTCAAGTTCAACCCTAGGCTGCCGCACTTCAAACTGCAGAGTAGAACTCTCGTACTCTGGTCTTCGCGTAGTCGGCGGAGACTCTCTTCGCGATCATCATTCTTCATGCTGCCGTCGTAGCGCGCGTATTCGAAGCCGTCTTTGTCAAGAAATGGCTCGACAAGATCCAGCATGGATGTGAATTGGGAAAAGACGATGAACTTGTGTTCCTTGGCTTCGGCGTGAAGAATCTTGGTCACCTCGCGGATTTTGGCTGATGCGAGGACTTGCGTTTGCTTGCCGGAGCGGAGCCACCCGCCATTATCTTCATCGTCTTCAGAGGAGTATGGTTCTGACTCTGATACATCAGACTCAGAATCGTCATCCTCTTCAGAATTAGATCCAGCATTCGATGTAGAAGCCTCGGGCTTTGGTTTCTTGTCCTCTAGCGTTTGTGAAGCCATTGCTTGTGTTAAAGCATCCACGGATAGGAGTGAGTCGTCCTGAGCGGCTTCGTCAACGGACTGATAACCATCCTCCTTCTTGGCCGTCTCATCCTCAACAACAAAGCTACTCAGATTGCTTTGATCCTTATCGTCTGCATCATCCTCTGAATCTTCTGTTCCAATCCAGTCACCACCACCCTCTGCATTTTCATCTTCTTCGCCTCCGGCCTTGCCCAAATGCACGTTGCCGCGCTCGCCGTCAGGTACAAGCCAACTTCCGTCACCTTCTTCTTCATCATCACTGTCTATGATGGCATTTCTGTTTCGTGGCCTGCGGGTTCGGAGTCTTGGTCGCTCTTCTTCATCGCCCTTGGCCTTGGCTGCCTTCTTTCCTTTTGACTTCTTGCTCCTCTTTCTTGTCGATCTCTTTGGCTTCTTCGTGTGTAGCTCCTCATTGTTCTTGAAATACTCCAAATCATCATGGCATTCGGCACAATTCTCCCGACCCAGCGTAGTATCATCCAAAGTCAGTTCCCTGCCACATATTGAGCACGTCTTCGTCACAATACCCATGCCCGCGAACATATCTACAACAGCATTCAGATCGATATCCTGCGACTTTTGACTGGAACCGGTGGAAAGGGCGTCCTTATCCTTTTCCAGCTTACCCTCCACCAGTTTGGGATGATTGCAGGCTTGACGAAGCCGCAGTAGGAGGGTAAAGGCGTTTGCGTAGCTGAGTTTGTTTTGTATCATCACCTCCATGCTTTTATCCGCACGAGCCTCGAGCCGGTCATAGAATTTTCGCTCAGCAGGAGGCATCTTAGCAGAGACAGTGACCACTTTACGCTCCGTGTGTTTGAAACCCGTTGTCGAAGCCTCGCCAGCAGCGCTTGGTTTGCCACCAGGGTTCAAAGCACCTTCTTTCTTCAAAATCTCCTTGGTGCGTCTCTTCATGAAACAGCGCAGAAGACTGTGTAGTCGGCGAATGGCAATGTGACCTCTGCCATTCTTCATGGGCTGGTCGATGTGCTCCCTCCACTGCTTTAGGTCGTCGTAAGGACTAATACGGAGGAATTTGATCAATGACTGGAGCTCATCCAGATTGTTCTGCATTGGAGTTCCGGACAGACACCAGCGATATTCTGAACGCAATGCACAACATGCCTTGGTAGCCTTGGCATTGCGATTCTTGATGCTATGAGCCTCGTCCAGAATGACTCGCCACCACCGTAGTCCAAAGCAGCCTGCTTTCACACCATTTTCGGCATCCGACGAGGCGCCATGCTCTGAAACAAGGATCTGGAAGGTGGTGACGACGACGTCGTACAAAGCCAGCTGTTTGAAGTCCTTTGTTCTCTGAGGCCCATGGTGAACCAGAACCTTGAGACCGTGGGATTTCTCAACCTTGTCCTTGATTTCGTGCTCCCATTGCCGAATGAGGGCGAGAGGGGCGACGACCAGTGTCGTTTTTTCGAGGCCCCCAAAATGTTTCTTCCATCCAGTGCTGTCCTTTCGAGGCTTTTGGTTAGTGATGATGAGTGACACACTCTGCAGTGTCTTTCCCAGTCCCATATCGTCGGCAAGAAGCCCGCCTTTGGGCACCTTACCACGCTTCACGGGACCAAGCTCACGGCCTCTCATCCACTCCACACCCTCGACTTGATGGGGCAATAGTTTCACCTTGAGGCCGTTGACGGTACCATCCTTGCCGATAGGACTTCCTTTTTTGACCTTTTGTGTTGGAGACGGTATTCCTTCACCTTGGGTTTGATGTTGGCTTTGGGAGCCTTTTGGCTGTGGTTGCGACGGCTGTGAGGCTGCAGCATCTTCTGGTTCTTCTTCGTCGTCGTCCTCCATTCCACCTTCCAATAGAGCTTTGAGATCTTCGTTCGCCTTCTTCGGATCGGTGTAGAATATTTCGTCAGAATAGGTAGCCCTCGACTTTGACGGGCCGTTGGACTCGAAGATGGGCATCGCAGGAGGCTTGCGATCTTGATATACTGGTGGTCTGGGACCAGACATCTTGGTGCCTCCAAGGTGATGCTCCGGACGGCTCTTTTGGTGGATGAAAACGTCCGCCTTCTGCTTACGAGACGATACCATTTTCGTAGGATGACCAAATGTAGGGTGGCCGGTACTGGCGTTGCTTGCAAGGCTTAACGGATCCATGCCCTGCGTATGCTGGGACTTGACAGACCCGAATCCGCGGTGTAGTTGATCAAAAACTGCATCGAAGTCGTCTGGAGACTGTTCTCTCTTGGTATGAGAAGGCTGGCCCTCCTTCGGAGGCTGTCGTTCGTTGACCATGGCGCCTATATCTCGAAGCGCCGGATCTGATTCGAAACTGTCTTTGCTTGCAGACGCTCTGGCAGCACTGGTTTGTGCTGGAGGCCGGGAGGAGGAGTTGGGGAAGTCGGGCTTTCCCCAGGAGGCAATGTTGTTCCTGGGTTTAAATGCAAAACTTGCGCCCGGTTTCTGGCGGTCATTGGCAGTCATCGGAGCGTCGTGTGTGAAGTTGGGCACCAGTAACGAGCATTTGCAGGGTTCATTGTTCACAGCTGCAATGTTTCTTCGGTGTTGGGCGACAAAGTGCCCGTCAACACGCCATGACATAATTGCCCCGGCAACGTTATACTTGCCTTGTACCCGCTTTGTACCGCCTTCACCCTCCCCGCCCTGCACCAGTAGACACATATGCGCGGAGATACTGTGGCCGACACCAAAAAAGACTTCGATTCACCGTGCAATCCGGCGCGTTGCTCACTGTGCTACGGAGTACTGATTCGAGGGATCTGGAGTCTGGGCCCTGTATAGTGTACACCATATCACACCGGTTGACTTGCTTAACCATGTTGAATGCCAAGGCTGCGTGCGCGACTTGCATATTTTCGTGCTACGTGTATGTCATTTTCGAACCGAAATCAACACATCTAGCAATATAGCTGGGCGTCGATCCTGTGACCAGATGCATGAAGCCTACTCCGTACCTAGTACTTTGGTTGTGGTACCTTAACATGAAGTGAGGCGGCAGACACCAAGTAGGACAGACTGAGGGCTTCCAGTGCAATTGGGGCCATGATTTACCCTCTGGGGTTCCAAACCGACCTAGTAGCTCCGACCATTCCCTAATGGAGGACTGAAACGGTTCTTCGCAGAAGTGGTCACTGTCTCAAACATGGCGTCGCGGCTGTCCATTGTCTCACGCATAGCCGGCAATACACTTGCAGAGCCCGTATACATCATTTGATAGGCCCGTCAAGTCAACTTGTCGAAGGGTTCTGATTTCTCCCAGGACGAGGCCACAAAGAACATTTGAGAAACATGTCAATATACTACATCATTTACAACCATACAAGGCGCGTACATGGCATAGATTGGTTGATTATATTGAGACTTGCTTATATGGCTGGTCCAAGCGGCTGCAGCCGGAAAAATTGAGAAGATTGTTCGTCTAAGCCAACCAAGCATCTTGATCAAGTATCTCGCTCCGTATGCATCCTGGCCCCTCAAATCCGCACTTCGTAACAAGCCGGCTCCCCGCCTAACAATAACATCATGTCAACGACGAGGGGTCCTCTCATATCGGTCCTCGAAAAGATTTAACCGTAAACCAGCTTGAAGATGTCGTTATAGACGTAGTACTGGCCGCTGGCATCGCGGCTAAGCTGGAAGGACTGGGTGTAGTTCATGG